GGATGGACCGTGGCCTCAAGACTGATGGTCATGGGTTCGATCCCTGGAGTGGTGGAGATTTTTCCCATAAAGGTAAAGGTAGGAAAGAAGCCCAGGTACCCTAGGGTACCCTCAGAGTAAAGCAGAGACTGTCTGACCCTAGCCCTGACCCTCAACTCGAAGCCTGAACCCAAGCATGAACCCTGACCCTGACCCTAACCCTGACCCTGACCCTCAACTCGAAGCCTGAACCTAAGCATGAACCCTGACCCTGACCCTAACCCTGACCCTAACGGGTCAGGATAGGGTAATGCTAACCTGAACCCAAGCATGAACCCTGACCCTAGCCCTAACCCTGGCCCTCAACTCGAACCCTAGCCCTAACCCTGACCCTAACGGGTCAGGATAGGGTAATGAGAACCTGAACCCAAGCATGAACCCTGACCCTAGCCCTAACCCTGGCCCTCAACTCGAACCCTAGCCCTAACCCTGACCCTAACGGGTCAGGATAGGGTAATGAGAACCTGAACCCAAGCATGAACCCTGACCCTAGCCCTAACCCTGGCCCTCAACTCGAACCCTAGCCCTAACCCTGGCCCTCAACTCGAACCCTAGCCCTAACCCTGGCCCTCAACTCGAAGCCTGAACCCGAAGCATGAACCCTCAACTCGAATCCGAACCCGAAGCATGAACCCTGACCCTAGCCCGAACCCGAACCCTCGAGGGTCAGGAATGGATTAGGGTTAGGGTTAGGAAGAAAGAAGGGTTACGAAAAGAATTAGGGTTAGGGTTAGGAAGAAAGAAGGGTTACGAAAAGAATTAGGGTTAGGGTTAGGAAGGAAGAAGGGTTACGAAAAGAATTAGGGTTAGGGTTAGGAAGAAAGAAGGGTTATACTAACCTGAACCGAAGCATGAACCCGAACCCTAGCCCTAACCCTGGCCCTCAACTCGAACCCGAACCTGAAGCACGGACCCTCAACTCGAATCCGAACCCGAACCTGAAGCATGAACCCTAGCCCGAACCCGAACCCTCGAGGGTCAGGAATGGATTAGGGTTAGGGTTAGGAAGAAAGAAGGGTTACGAAAAGAATTAGGGTTAGGGTTAGGGTTAGGAACAAGCAAGGGTTACGAAAAGAATTAGGGTTAAGAAGAAAGAAAGAAGGGTTACGAAATAGAATTAGGGTTAGGGTTAGGAACAAACAAGGGTTATACTAACCTGAACCGAAGCATGAACCCGAACCCTAGCCCTAACCCTGGCCCTCAACTCGAACCCGAACCTGAAGCACGGACCCTCAACTCGAATCCGAACCTGAAGCATGAACCCTAGCCCGAACCCGAACCCTCGAGGGTCAGGAATGGATTAGGGTTAGGGTTAGGAAGAAAGAAGGGTTACGAAAAGAATTAGGGTTAGGGTTAGGAAGGAAGAAGGGTTACGAAAAGAATTAGGGTTAGGGTTAGGAAGAAAGAAGGGTTACGAAAAGAATTAGGGTTAGGGTTAGGAAGGAAGAAGGGTTACGAAAAGAATTAGGGTTAGGGTTAGGAAGAAAGAAGGGTTACGAAAAGAATTAGGGTTAGGGTTAGGAAGGAAGAAGGGTTACGAAAAGAATTAGGGTTAGGGTTAGGAAGGAAGAAGGGTTACGAAAAGAATTAGGGTTAGGGTTAGGAAGGAAGAAGGGTTACGAAAAGAATTAGGGTTAGGGTTAGGAAGGAAGAAGGGTTACGAAAAGAATTAGGGTTAGGGTTAGGAAGAAAGAAGGGTTATACTAACCTGAACCGAAGCATGAACCCGAACCCTAGCCCTAACCCGAACCCTCAACTCGAATCCGAACCCGAACCTGAAGCATGAACCCTAGCCCGAACCCGAACCCTCGAGGGTCAGGAATGAATTAGGGTTAGGGTTAGGAAGAAAGAAAGAAGGGTTACGAAAAGAATTAGGGTTAGGGTTAGGAAGGAAGAAGGGTTACGAAAAGAATTAGGGTTAGGGTTAGGAAGAAAGAAGGGTTAAGAAGAAACAAGGGTTAGGGTTAGGATTATACTAACCCTCATAACCTGGTAACCAAGCAAGCAAGAATTACAAGCAAGCAAGAATTACAAGCTAGGGTTATACTCAAATTAACCCCAACCGCTAACCTCCAACCCCAACTGCAACTTGAACTGCAACTTGAACTGTAACTTGAACTGCAACTGCAACCCTAACCTAAACCGCTACCAACCAACCTAGCTACCAACCTAGCTGGCGGTCAACGGCCTGCTCCAAATCCCTCTTTGCTGCAGGTCGGTAAATTTGATTGATTGTTTGTTTGTTGGTTAGTTAACCTTGTTATTCTTGTTATTCTTGTGAACCTTGTTGTTGTTAACCCTATCAACCATTTTTACTCTCCAACCACCTACACTCTACACTCTTTAACTATATATTCATACTCCTTCTACTATACTCTAACCATCTGGTTACGCATATACGCAAATTGGAGTAACAAGCGTAATCGACATTCACAGGTACATTTATCTTTGACCCTCTAAAATCGCACACACACATCCTACAAACATTATTCCACTTGAATTAGTACTCATATAGAAAGTTACAAAAATTAAGAACCAACCATATACCAAAAGGAAAAATTGAGATGCTCAAAATCCAAAAATTATACTAATTGTAGCTTATATTTTTTACCCAAAATTAGATTATTTCACTCATTATTATTTTACATTCCATATTTTACAAATTATATTTTTTATTTTTATTACTTCATTTTATTCAACATACACTACTCATTATTACCATATACTTACTTTTACAATATCTCACACATACACGCACTTATCGCATCAAACATACTAGGAACATCCATTTTTCAATTTTTATTCATTTTCATTTTTTTAGAGAGACAACATGGAATACTCTTTTACACTACAATAGAAGACTAACATAAAGAGTTAGTTATTCAGAAACTTGAAATATGAAAATTCGAGTTTTGGTTGGTCCAAGTCACTTTGAACTGGAAGTGACTGGGCATATGGACAATTTGGGTAATACTAGAAAAGTGACTAGGATTTTCGATTCAAGTCAATTTGATGGGAATGAAGTGAATTGGAAGTGACAACATGATTTCCAAATTGAATACATAAATTTGAACGAGACTTGCAGAAATTGATTTTCCCAGTCACTTTGAACTGGAAGTGACTCAAATTGAGAATTTTGGGTAATACTAGAAAAGTGACTAGGATTTTGATTTTCCCAGTCACTTTGAACTGGGAATGAAATTTGAGAATTTTGGGTAATACTAGAAAAGTGACTAGGATTTTGATTTTCCCAGTCACTTTGAACTGGAAGTGACTCGAATGGGCAATTTGGGTAATACTAGAAAAGTGACTAGGATTTTGATTTTCCCAGTCACTTTGAACTGGGAATGACTCAATTGAGAATTTTGGGTAATACTAGAAAAGTGACTAGGATTTTGATTTTCCCAGTCACTTTGAACTGGAAGTGACTCGAATGGGCAATTTAGGTAATACTAGAAAAGTGACTAGGATTTTGATTTTCCCAGTCACTTTGAACTGGGAATGAAATTTGAGAATTTTGGGTAATACTAGAAAAGTGACTAGGATTTTGATTTTCCCAGTCACTTTGAACTGGAAGTGACTCGAATGGGCAATTTAGGTAATACTAGAAAAGTGACTAGGATTTTGATTTTCCCAGTCACTTTGAACTGGGAATGACTCGAATTGAGAATTTTGGGTAATACTAGAAAAGTGACTAGGATTTTGATTTTCCCAGTCACTTTGAACTGGAAGTGACTCGAATGGGCAATTTAGGTAATACTAGAAAAGTGACTAGGATTTTGATTTTCCCAGTCACTTTGAACTGGGAATGAAATTTGAGAATTTTGGGTAATACTAGAAAAGTGACTAGGATTTTCGATTTTTGTAAAACTCGCTCCATTGGACTGGAATGACTTCTATTCACATGAATTCACATTGCTAACATGTTTAGGAGTGTGTAGAATGAATTTGAATGGGACTTACAAAAATTGAATTTCCCAGTCACTTTGAACTAGAGTGAAAATTTTGTAATTTAATACTAAAATTTTGACTAGGATTTTCTATAAATTCCCAAAATATTGACTATTTTAGTATTGTAACAAAACTACTACCACTAGTTTTTTTTTAAACTAGGCCAAAATGTATTATGAGAGGTAGTACTTCTCGAGGTCGGTGAAGTGGAAGTTGGGTTTAGTTGATGGTTGTGACTATTGAGTATAGTAGTTGTGAATGGTAGATTGGTAGTGTGTATAGCAGCTGCTGTGTTGATAGTTGCATGGTTGAAGTCAACTTGAACCTTGTGAGTCTTCGTGACTTGGCTTCTAGTTATTCTATGAATGCACTGACTTTAGCTAGTTGATTGTAGGTTGGTTTGAAGGTTGGAATGTGAGTAGGTAAGTAAGTAAGTAGGTAGGTAAGTAAGTAGGTAGGTAGGTAAGTAAGTAGGTAGGTAGGTAAGTAAGTAGGTAGGTAGGTAAGTAAGTAAGTAAAGTTGAATGAAGTGAAGTGAAGTTAGGTTGAATGAAGTGAAGTTAAATGAAGTGAAGTGAAGTTGAGTGAAGGTCAGTTGAAGTTAATTTTGAAAGCGAAGTGAAAGTGAAGCTTGAAGTTGAGTTGGAAGTAGTGATTGTAGTTAATAGGTTAAATTTGGTACTGGTGTTCGTAGTATGAAGTTTATCTTGTTAAGTATAATAATGAGTTGTGTATTAGTTCTTGGGACTTGTCCTAGGAAGTGATATGCAGTTGTTGTTATGGTTGACAGGTTAAGGTTTGTGCTGTGGACATGAGTAGTAAGTTTGATGTATTGATTTCAATGATTACTTGCAATTTGAGTTGAAGCTTGATTTTGACTTGGTTTTTGAAATTGAGTTGAGCTGATTTTGATTTGACTTGACTTTGCTTGATTTGACTTTGCTTGATTTGATTTGACTTGATTTGATTTCTTTCTTCTTTCGTTATTTCTTCTTTGCTTATTTGCTTAT